TGGACGTCTTTGGCCAGGAGCAATTCTTCAGCAGCCATTCGGCTGGCTTCAAGAGCCTCTAGACGCTGCTGCACTTCAGCTTGTGCAGCAGTTCCTTCTTGAATTCGGCTCTCAATAGCAGCCTTGAATTTGGAGACGTCCACTCCCATATGCTCCTGGAGGAATTTTTCCCCTTCCATCAGTGGGGGAAAAACCTCCATCTCCATAGCATCGCAGAAGGTTTTCAGAGCTTCGGCAGCTTTTTTACCGTACTCCTCAACCTCCTGCTGCTTCTCTTCAGCTGCTGCTTGCTTCAGCTTAGCAAGCTTAACTTCCTCTTCAGCCACCTTCTTTTCGTGCACAGCAGCGTCTACCCTATCTTGTAGGGTATCAATCAGCTCTACAGTGAGAGTCTGATTGTGCACGAACTGAAAACAGGAAGACAAAAAAAAATAATAAATAAAAAAAATATATATATGTAAAGAGCTGAATTTCGGAGGAAATGAAGGAAAATTACCTGCATCATCAGCAGTTGGTTAGACCTGGCTGGGTCAGGAACTGATCTACTGGATTCGCCCATCCCAGCAGTGGCCTTCAGCGACCAGATCCTTGCCCTGTCTACTTCGGACATGCCAGCAAAATTGCCGAAGTAGGCTGCAGCTCCTTCTCGGTTTTGACCCCATATGAGGTCCCAGATGTGATCTGGGATTGGAATTCGGGGGGCCGAGAAACCCATTTCTCCAGAATGCAGAGTCTGGAAAGAAGGGAAGGACGACGATGGAGCTTGATTAGCCTTGGTTGTCTCAGCATCGTCCTTCTCAGAGGAGTCAAGTACTATGACCTCCTCTTCTTCAGGGGTGAGGACGAAAGCCTCAACCTCTCTTGCGATATCTGCCGTGAAGCCTTCAGCACTTGACATCACGGCATCTTTATTTTCGTGCTCAGCAGCACTCTCCTTGATTTCTTCTTGGACCCCTCCCTTAGGTTCGGGAGTTCTCTGATCCACCTCCATCTCAGGAGGTGGCGGAGGGGTCTTTTGAGGAGATTGGGGTGTTGGCTGGGGAACCCTCGGCGATCCATTGCCTTCCTCAGGTTCCCTTATTGCGACGCCGATGGTCATCGGCCTCTGCTGAAAGTCATGAGGGCCGATGATGGCCATCCTTCGGCGCCTTTTCAGAAGAGGCTGCTCGTCCATATCTGAGTCTGAAGACTCTTGTATTTGATCTTCGGGACGAACAGGAGCTTTGCCTTCTCTGTGTCTGTTACTCTCTTCAGACTGTAACAGACAGGGGGGAAGAAGAGTGAAAAAAAAAAAAAAAAAAAAAAAAAAAAATGAAAATGAAAATGAAAAGAAAAAAGTTGTCTGAAGCTCACCGAGGTTTTCAGCAAAGCCTCGTCTTCTTCAGCTGCTCTAGCTGCAGCTTCGGCCTCAGCAGCTCTGGAGGACCCTTCTCCTCCTTCGCAAGCCTCAAGTACCCGTGCAACCTCTTCGGCTGTGCGGGCAGCTTCAGCTTCTTCGTTCAGCAGCTGAAACCAAGGGTCTCTCTTCTTCCACCAAGGCTTCTGCCTCTGATACAGAGCAACAGCCTCAATTTGGAAGTGGGAAGAATCCAGATGAACTTCCCTATGCCTCGGCTCAGTGATAGACGGGGCCCGTTCAGTTACAACTCGCTCTCGGTTGACACCAAGACGAGCGTAGTTAATACCAACGTTGGTCTCGTCCCGCTCTGAAAAAAGGGAAAGGGAAAAAGTTTAGCTCAGATATGTTGGCACAGCATAAAAAAGCAAAGCGAGAGAAGAAAAAGAGGTAGTTAAAAGCCTCGGCCCCAGCCGAAGAAGCTTACCATCCTTAAACTTTCGGCTGAGGCCAACAGCTGCTAGCATATTCTCTTGGAAAACGTAATGCGTATCGGGGAGCCAAGTCTCCGGGATATGCTGCATTCGACCACTCCCCCCCGGGTTCGGCAGCTTGCCGAAGATATGTTGCTGATCCAGGTTCGGATCCGCCCCGTTATCTGCGGGGGGACCTAGACTTCCCATTTCGGGATCAGGCTCAGCTAAGTACCGGGGAGCGCTGAAGACGCAAGGGTGGCCCGGATCTATGGGTGCCCTAACCCAAATCCATTGACCTCTCCAGTCCTTGTCTGAAGAGTCATTTGGCCACATGGTCAAGTATTGGGGCCGGGACTCAATCCGATACCACCCAGAACCATGGCTTCCGTGCCCACTCTGAATATTTGGCACTAGCCGATGGAGCTTTCTGAAGCAGTGCAGGTTCGGCACGTATTTGAAGAACTTGCAGACCCATAAGTATGTCATCACCCTTCGGATGCTGGTGGGGGTTAGCTGACATAGGGAAATGTTGTAATGGATCAGCAAGTCTCGGACGAAAACGTCCAAAGGGAACCTCAGCCCATACTGAAGCTGTCTCGTGTACACCCCCACATACCCCGGGGGTGGACGATGGATTCTATCGGATGCTGAGGGCATTCGGCACCAATATCCATCAGCTTCAAAAATGCCGTAGTGCAACTCAATTTGCTCAGCAAATCGATATTGATCGGCGTTCTCTACCCACCATGAGTAGGGGCGGTTCTTTATCATGGCCGAAGCGACTTCGGCATTCTCCCACTCTGAAAACCCAGGGAGGATATCCCAAAGGACAGCGGGAATTTCATCGTCCCGTCCAGAAGCACTCGGCTCATCCGTTCTTTGAGGAGGAGCCGAGGAAAGGGGAGTCGCCCTAATCCCTTCAGCAGGGTCAGACTCCGGCCTTTGACCATTCCAGGTCCCAATCCTATTCCTAGGATCGGGAATCGGCCTTGCTCTTCTTGGAGCACGGGCTCTACCTCTAACTCCTCTTGCCATGGATTACTTCGAAGAGAAAAGTCGAAAGAAAAGGGGAAGGAGTTCGAATTCGAAGAAAAATAAACTGAAATCAAAGGAATTTACCTTAATCTGAAGCGAAAGTTGCCGATTTACGAGTTCGTAGTGGCAAGTCTCAGTTTCTAAGCTCAATGCTCGGGGAATTTGCGAAGTTTTGATGCGGGTTCTTGGTTTCTCTCTCGAAGAATTCTGGGTTTGTGTTGGTGAATAAGTGAGGAGAATGACGCGCCTCTGTTTATATCTCCAGGTACGGGATACGAAGAGTCTGTGCTTTAATTTCTCTTAAGTACCCACTAAGTAACCATTAAACACATGTCTTGTGATTAAACTGCCCATTATCCGTCCAACTTCCGCAAATCATTAACCGTTGTTATCTCATTAATTACGGTTTAAATTCAAATTTTTGGATCAATTAAATCATTTACTTCCCTCCTTTTCTGAGTTAAATCAAACCCGACCCGTCATTCTTCCAAATCGGGTCTGGGGGGCAAGTTGTTTGGGTCCAATTTAGTCAAAGTTGGGCCTGAGCACTAAATGATCCAATTAAAAGCCCAAGGTCAAGGTTCAACTCTCCAATTGCTCAAAAGTCAAAAGTCAGCCCACAAAGTAAGCCAATTGGGCTAAAGCCCAACCTCTCCAAGTATGATGAGGTATAAAAGCCATCATATTAACACATTCAAAAGGACATCACATACATTATCACATATGATCATTGACATTCCAATTCATATGCTCATTCTTGCATTCAGAAATATTCCACAAAAGCCTCAAGCTACAAACTCTCTTGCATAGTGTCTTCCTTCTACACATTGTACTGACTTTAGCATCGGAGGGGCCTTCCTCGGAAACACCCCCGAGGCTAGTTTACGTGTGTTCACTGTGCAGGAAACCTTCGGCCCAACACAACTTGGATCGAATCCAGTCTTCTCCATTTCAGTGGACCTTCGGCAAGGTCCCATTGTTTTCAACCGAAACAATCTGTATATTCCTAAGTATAAATTCCCAGGTGATAAACCTCAGCTCATGAATAACAAACCAATCAAACTTGTGCATGCTTATAATCTTGTAAATTTGTTTATAATCGTTACAAATAATATGAAACGGAGGTAGTATATCGAATAACATTTGTACACCTAACAAAAAAGAATCTAATTGAATTATGCTAGAAGATACTTAATTGATTCACTTCAAAAAGTACATGTTTGACATGAGTTTGGAATCACTCGAACCCATACCACTTGTTTGGCCACATATATTGGAATTGAGATCCATCCCCTACTCTCAATGTATACGGTAACAAATTAACAATCTTTACAAAGTAAAATAAAATCGCACATTGCATGAGTTTTTCATCAATTGAAAAAATAAAAAAGTTTTAGTTTTGCCATTTAAATTCTATTTTATGATTTTAAATAGATAAAACAAAATAATAAAATAAACTAAAATATAAAAAATAAGGTTATAATTTAATGCGTACATTTTACACCAAGGTGGGCTATGTTGCACCCTTGGACTTACTATCAATCATATTCAAGGCCAAGTATCTTCTATGCTAACTTGATTACTTATCAATAGTCAATATATACCTTGCTTCATAATGAAATAATGTCCATATAAAATATATAAACTTTGCAGTAATTTTTCATATCATTGCCTTAAAAAAATTATACTCCTTTTTATCCCAGCATAAAGCTTCGCATATGCTCCTATTATATTCTAGTTTATCCCAACAAAATTCCACTTTCTATAATGTGTAATTTGAAATTCTAACTTTCCCAATAACTTGTAATTGGCACTTTGGTAACCTAATAAAAACTCAAAAAGAAGTTAAGATTGTAACATGAAAAACAATTTCCACCAAAAAAGAAAATGATATAAACTAAAAAAGAAAGACAAACATACAAACTAATCAACAGATAATTACTCCGTAAATGATTATGTTATTCAGTTCTAAGGTATATATTTTGCGCACCCAATTAACCCAAAGTTAGTTTTTGCTTTTTATTTGATGATTAAATGAAAAGCAATCATCAGAATGAGAAAAAAATGTTCATGAGTCTACCATGCACCCGAGTATATGAACAATCTCTCAGAGGTAGTGTATATCACAGTTGTACGGAAACAGTATAACTTACCTTCGATGAAGACGGAGAGGCCAAAATCAGTAATCTTCAAAGGAGAATCATGATCTTTACTAACCAACAAGAAATTCTCAGGCTTCAAATCTCTATGCATGACACCCATAAAATGACAGACATGAACAACATTAACAATTTGTCTAAAAATAACAGCAGCTTCCTTTTCAGAGAATTGGCCTTTACTCACAATTCTATCAAACAATTCTCCACCAGAACAAAGTTCCATTACTAAATACAATTTATTTTTATCTTCATAAGCCCCTTTAAATTCAACAATATTTGGTTGTCCACTTAAATGTTGCATTATCAAAATCTCTCTTCTTACATCTTCAATATCCTTTTTACGCTTAAGTTTAAGCTTAGATATTGATTTACATGCATATTTCAACCCTGTTGAAATTTCTGTGCATAAATATGTTATTCCAAACTGCCCTCTTCCTAGCTCTTTCTCTAGGTGGTAGATGGAGGTGATGTCTACATAGGGTTTGTTAAGGATAGTGCCGTGTTCCAGGACCGAAGACATAGTAGAGGAGGAAGGAAAGGGAATTGATGTTCGTGGTGGTGGCGGAGGTGGTGGGGGAGCTGGTGTTTGTATAGGAGGGAGTGGTGGGGGTTTGTAGTATGATTCGTTTCGGTTTCGGCTTCGGGTTGGTGGAGAAGTGTCTGAGATTGCTATTTCGTAAGAACTTGGAGACCAGAATTCTCCTGAACAACAGTTTCCCATGTTTGGAGAGAGAGAGGAGAAAGAAAGAGTAAGAAATGGGGTGAAGAAGGAAGGTTTGAGCTAGAATTGGAGGAAGGAATTAGATTAGAGTCGTCCACTTTCATATTGAATGTTTTTGGTGCTTTGCTTTGCCTTCGAGAGTTGATCATTGATCACTTTTTATTTTTTGTGTTTTGTTTGTTCCTCCTCTCTTGTGGGGGTAGTTTTGTATTTGCTTATAATTATTTATTATTACTTTATTGTAGAGAATTAACACACAAATCGATACAATAAGAAATAGAGAGAATGGGTTGTTTTACATATTTGCACATCCGATAAGCTTTAACTGTATTTGCCATAAGGTTGCTATTGCGCATGTCATAGCGGCTAGTCATGTTTAAAGAGACCACTTATTATTAACAACATTAATGAGGGGAAAATGTGTAAACAAATATTAGTAGGGGTATAAATGTACGCATTTTATTCTTAAGCGTTAAAAAAAGCAATTAACTTTTTGTTGACCTTATGGTTTTGATGATGACATTGCCTAACTTTATATACAGACTAGTAAGAACTTGATTGTTTAAGTGTATCATCAGATGCAATGACTAGGAGAATTGAGTTGTCTTACGAAGATTGCACGAGGAACAAGATAGACAGGGACAAAGTAATCCAAAAGAGAAGAGTTCCCTCACAGGAACTTATGCTTCAGAGATGGAGCCTTGAAAAGAGAAGTTCCTTATAGACAGGGACAAAGTAATCCAAAAGAGAAGAGTTCCCTCACAGGAACTTGTGCTTCAGAGATGGAGCCTTGAAAAGAGAAGTTCTTTTGCAGGAGTAGAAGTCTCGGAGTAGGAGTTTCATTAGAAAAACATGAAAACTAAAATATTTTATGTTTTAGGATTTATGTAAGTATTAAAACTAGGTTTACACTTTAACTTAGCTATGTGGAATTGGTCTTAAAGATAGAATTGTGCGTTGCTTAATTTTAGGAAAACAATTGGCTTCAAAGTCTTATCTTTTAATTATAAAAAGGATTTTATTCTCTCTAAATTTCGAAATATCATTTTAATAAATAAAATGTGATTTTTATTTTCCAAAACTTGTGAACTACTCTCCATGACGACTTTTTTTCCATGTCATGGTCTTGCACATTGAGGGGTTCGTGTCCTTAATTTTAGGGCATGTTCTACTTAGTAGGTTTAGAGTAGTGGCGACATGTGTTTAGGTTAATTTTACCCCGCCACGTGGTCCAACCAGAGGACGACACGTGTCAGCTTAAGGTTGGCCCAAAGTGGACCAATCTCTGCCTGACACGTGTCACTCCAGAAATTAAGGGAAAAAAGGCGGCCTTCAGGCCCAAATCCCGAGAAAGCCGCAAAGCGGCGCAGCCCACCAATGATTAGGGTTCAGTGACCTAATCAGGGGTACAAATTCCAAAGACCCTATAAATAGGGAGATGTCCCTCTTTTTGAGGGCACGTTTTACCATTTACTACATACAGTCCCTGTGATAGAGACATCTGAGCTTGGAATCCGAGCATATACCCACCTAAATTCCCGCACCTTTTTCACTCCCTTCAAGTTACTAACTTGTTCGTCGGAGGCGGAGCACCAACCAACCGGTGTCTCCGTTTGTCTTGCAGGACAGCTCCCGCCGGATCAGTCTTCGTGTTGTAACTCTCCCAAGGGACAAAAACACCAAAAACATTTGGCGCCGTCTGTGAGGAGAGTACCACGAAGATGGTTCAAGAGTCTGTACCACCCCCTAACCATCTGGGCGATGACCCATAAGTCTTTACAGACCATGAGGATGAAGATCCTCAGGTCGAAACCTTTATAGCCGATGATGGCTCTCTCAGAATCAAGCGCTTCCGGCCCATAGACACTCTAGAGCGGGGTGCCTCCCAGGCGGGTACAAGCCGACCCCTTGGGCAGCCGGAAGGGGAAACCCATACGGCCGCTGGATCAGCCCCTGTCACCCGAGACGAACTCATGAGATTCATGACAAGTTTCAAGGGTGAAATTAAAGAGCTGATCACCCAAAGCCGGGCTGACCCATGTAAAGGTCAGTCGCCCAGGAAGACTCCTCTAGAGAAGGGGAAGTCAGTCAGAGAACGACAGCCCACTCCTCATCCAAAGGAGAAGGCAACCGGGACCATTGATTGGTCAAAAATTCTTCTCCCTAAGAGGAACAACAACAACACCCGCCGGACTCAGCAGCCGGTGGGAAGTAAGAAATCAACTCTTGATGCCCGGGAAATTATCAACCGAAAGAGAAACCAACAACTGTCTGAGTCGGCTTCAACGTCGAACTTTCCAGACAGCTTCAACAACACTTCTGCAGGGAATGCACTCTCCCTGCATGAGAGCTAAACAGGCGGTAATACCGTCCATTCTGGCCCTCAGATGATTGGGGTTGTACCGTATGTGCCTACTCAGGTTTACGATCAATATCCCCCTCACTTCATGCAACTGGCTCTCTTCGGAGGTCAGGCGGCATATCAAAATGTCCAGCCACTAGACTGGCAGCTCCGTCTGCTACGTCTGGGTGAACAACCTTCTACGTTCACCCGGGAGATAACCAAGGCGTCACAGCCGGCCAAGGTTAAGAATGTTTTGGTGGGTACCTATGATGGTACTACCAACTCGGAAGATCACCTTATGGCATTGTAGACACCTAAAAATGTCTCCCCAAAACCAAACCCGATGATAAACAACCTTTCACCGCCACTATTGGTCGGGTTTGGTATTTAATCCCGAGAGTGCTTGAAAAATCGTAAATTCATATTTTCGAAAGGTCTATGGATCAGTCTTGGTGTTTGGTAAAAGCATAGTTTTAATTTTATCCCAAACTTGTTAATTAATTTTAAGCCCAAACCTTTTTATTTTATTATTATTTATTTTTGGCCCAAATATTTTATTTATTTTTATTTTATTATTTTAGCCCGAATAATAAAGTCAGAAAAAAGCCCGAAATTATCAATCGGCACTTAAAAAGCCGAAAGAAATTAGGGTTAAAAATGAATTTAGACGGAAAAATGGACTAGAACTGACCGTGTCACGTACAGCCTGACCGTGTCACGGGAACTCTTCCTGTCTGACGGTGGGACTTCCCGTGACACGGGAGGTCTGCCGTGACACGGGGAGTTCTGTGTCCTTTCCGCGTAAACCCTTAACGCGTTTTCCGTTCCGTTTTCTGAAAATTTCCCGCGACACTCCAAAACTGACCGTGTCACGGGAACTTGTACCGTCTGATGGCACAGTCTAACCGTGTCACGGTACAGTCTGACCGTGTCACGGGATACTTTTTCAGGGTTTTTATCATTTTAGGGTTCCGTGTGCTCCCTCAGCACATTTCCCTATAAATACCCCCTCATTTCTGATGTACGGGGCAACCAGAATTCGATTATTCTTATTTTTCTCTCTTCTATGCTCTTAACCTAAACACTAGCCTACCCTTTTCACTTCAAAATTCCTTCTTCAAGCACTCAAAGGAGTCCATATTTTACTCGAAGTTCTGTCCTTAAGCCAAGGCGTGAAAGGTAGAATCGTTTGAGGGTTTGGCCCCAAAATCAACCTTATTTTATTTAATTTAATTTAGTTATTGTTTTATTATTTCCTTGAAGTTACTAACTCGTTTATTGTTTTGTAGTTGCAAACAAACAGAATCAAAGTAAGGATCATGCTCCTTTATTATTATTATTATTTTTCTAACAATTTTATGTTGTTGTGATTAAATTGGTATTAATGTTGATTTTATTTTTATGATCACTATATTGCATGTTTAAAGAGAATATGTAATTGAAAATCACGGCTAATAAGATACTTTGGACAACCGGTTTAGGTTCCCTTTTAATCTTATTGTTAATTCAAGTGATCACCAAATTTTTAGAATTATGTGTGCATTAATTTTAAACCAATTTAGTTAAATAATAGTTTGGAGCAAATTGAATTATTGTTTGTACGCCTTTGAGATCACATGAATGCTTTTCACTATAAGAATCGAGTAGAGGCCAATACGGGCGAACGTGACTCCATGACTCACTTCGTACCATCATCCCCGATCCTCCTTTCGTGGTTCCGAACCATATGGAGTTAGTAATCTCATGGATTATGAATGGGGTGTAACCTTCACGGGTCAATCGTTGTTGCCTATCGTTGTCCCTTATCATGGTTGCCTTTTTATGATCCGTGAACGGTTTACAAGTTCCTTAAAAACTTGTTGGCGGCTCCCTACTTTATTTATCCCTAATCGTAGTGTCAATTCCCACTCCCTATGAGTGCCAAGCATATTCACAACATGCTTTTAACGTAGGCGCACTTCAAACGACGCCTACAATTTGGCGACTCCACTAGGGAGGATTCTTAGTTATTTATCGATTTGAGTGATCGGTATTTAATTAAGATGAGTGGATGAGACTTGAAAGATTCTTGAAAAAATATTCCTGTGATTAATTTGGCATTTTTGCATCTGCATAGACGTTTTAACGTCGCATTCAGGTATGTCCCGTAGGAAAAATTGGATAACTCGGTTACGCGCAAAAGCAAACAGGGCACCAGTCAGATTTTCTGACTGCCGTGTCACGGCAGTCCTAAAATCTGTCCGGTGGCCTATTTTCTTTTCTCACAGTCGACTTCCTTCGATTTTTCTGAAAAAACGTATGTGTTCTACATGCGTCTTATCCCCGGGGGATTTAAGCTCTATCAACCCAAAAACGCTCATGGTAATAAGGGTTCATCCGAGTTATTAAATCCACCCAAACCATGGAGTCGAGTTCGATTTCATCACGAACTCGCGGAGCCGCCCGTTGGCATACACCCTCAAGGGAGGCTGCCTTGCTAGCGCGTCCAAACTCTTAACCATGGTACTCTTTTGACACCCAAAGCTTGACCAATAGTTGAACATAGATCTTGACTTTAGGTTGCGAACTTTTTTTACATCATCGTGCCTAAATGCTATGTGTTTGTTTAGTGCTAACCCCAATGTGTTTGCTCTTTTTATTTGACCCATGACCGAGGGTTTTTATTCTCATATAGTAATTAGTACGGACTTAAAATCGATTAAAATCTGAAAAAAAAATCACAAACTGACCTGGAACTGCGCACCGTGTCACGGCATTGTGTGCCATGTCACGGCATTGTGTGCCGTGTCACGGGGAACAGTGCCGTGACACGGGAGAGTCTACCGTCTGACGGTAGGGTTAAACGTGTCACGCTAGTCTGCACCGTGACACGGTGCCTAGGAAAGTGTCCCGTCAATATTTTTTCTCGATTTTTGTGTCCAGTATTGAGTCGTGTCTAGCTATACAGTCAAAACACGCGTCCATAACCTCACTTAATCACTCACATGTCGTGTTTACACACTTTTTTGCTTTAAGTCGTGCACCACTTTTTTA